TGCCCAAAGCACTGCTATGACTTTTAGAAAAATCCAGACCAGCTGAAACCAGCTAGTTCAGAACACAAAGGCTCATCACTTTGCTTCCTGTGTTGTGGTCTCAACCTCCCAAGACCACCCAAACAAAAACCATGAAAATCTGCCAGAATTCACTTATTTTCATTTGTGTATAGTCAGTCAGCAGTTCACTATAAATTATTCATCTGCTTATTCTCAAAAATAAACCTTTTATCTTTGACTGTAACAGACAGAAAAACAAACTATAAAAACAAAAGATTAATCATTAACTAGAAAATATATTGAATATTTTTGCCTGAACAGTTTTAGGCAAAGCTTTCAGGAATATTAATCAACTGTATATGTTTTTAAATCTTAGTATCAAAATATTGTTGAAATGGCACTAATAAAACCTTGGGAAATAGGAGATTTGTCTCAAACTTTCCTTTTGCTGCCTGTGGGCTTGTGTGTTAGTGCCTTTTTTTTTTCAATTTTAAATTGCTCACAGATTTCTTCCTCCACGTAGACCAACATGGTTGAGGGGCAAGATTAAAAATGCAATAACGTTCCTATTAAATAGCTAGCTGATGACAAAGCCAACAGTCAACAAGCTTATCTATGTTTGAAGCAAAGACAGACTGGAATCAGAACATGAACAGGACAAGCATGGTTATCAGAATCAGCTGAGTCATCACCAACAGAAAGATTGGTCAATTAAGGACTCTGTCTTTCAGAAGACAAATAGGAAATTTAACTTTGTCTAAGCATTGTACTTCTATTGCTGTGTGCTTCTAGTGTTCATTATCTTCCAAACTTTCTGTATCATGTACTAGCCAAGTACATTTCACCAATGCATGTCAAATACCATTTAAATACTGATTCTACGTGCTTGTACCACAGCTTCAAGAGATTCAATATTGCTACCTGTAAAATCAGATTTTCCTTACACATTGCAGCAGTAGGATCCCATTTGTGAGAGATGACAAGAAACTGGGGGTGAAGCTTTGCCTCACGAACAAGAATGCTCAGATAAACAACTGTCTCTAACTGCTGGTGTCCCTGCAGCTGTCGTGCACTGCATTTTACCTGGGGTTCCAGATAAGGCAGCTTGAGCTCCTGTCAGAGTCAAGAGGCCACCTTCTTTCAGATGTTTTGTGGCAAGGTGGCTGGAAATAGTCGATGTCCAAACACTCTGCTTCCACATCAGATCACAGTTTTTGTATAAAGCTGATTAGGAAGAGAATTAGTGAAATTAGCCAAAGGAAGACAACAAACTCTGATTTCCTCACTGTTACACAGAGTGCAACAGCACTATGAAAACATGCTTTCCACAATTTTCTACTAATTTATGTCTTTTGTATATCCTTTCTCTTTGAGCCTGTAACAGCCAAACCAGAAGGGGGAAGAAAGGGACACATTTCACCAGAATCACTCCATACAGAAAACAAGGCTATTTTTCTTCTTTTGTCTCTACAGTTGTGGGTACAAATTTCATTATGAATATTACATGTTTAAAAGCCTTTTTTTTAATCTGAAGGGTTTTTTTTTTTTGTAGCATGAGTAGGCAGTGGCCTCCAATATTGTATTGCACAGTAACAGCTCAGAGAGCTGCAGGAAGCAACTGAGGTTTTATGCATAAAGCAACAACTTAGGAAACAACATCAATGTGTGTTTTGTACCTTGCCTGACACAGGTAATCTCAGCAAAAATCAGCTCATAGATAACGATGCTGAGCTGCTTCAGAAAGCACATCAAAACTTTCTGATAAAAATTAGTGCATCAACAAACATTACTGAAGAAACTAAGTGCTGTGCAAATTTAACAGAAAGCAAAAATTCAGAGAAGCCCTAGGAAGCACTGTGACAGAGCTATTTTGTACTTCTATGTTTCTGTCCTCCTCTGGACTCTGGAAGAAGGATTTTTAATTACTTCTCTCAGACATCATTCAGGTTTTCACCAGCACATCTGTACCAAAGGCTTACACTTGGCTTTGGCGCTGCCTCCAGCCCATCCTCCTGCTACACACAGGATTGCATCCACCTTTTCTTCACCAAGAAGTTTTCCAACTTCTGCTGTCACCTTCAACACAGAGAACAAGAACATACTGAAAACACTGGACTGATAAGGTGAAGAGCTAAACACCATGAATACCTTAAAGCTACTTTTTCCTACATATGTATTTGAATATCACAGGGCACAATTTAAACAGCTATAGAAAATTAATATTTATGATTCATGAACTCAAAATTAAAGCTACTTTTTCCTACATATGTATTTGAATATCACAGGGCACAACAATTTAAACAGCTATAGAAAATTAGTATTTATGATTCATGAACTCAAAGCAACTGTGTTGAAAAATAACTACACATGAAAGTCAGAAGAATGAAAGCCATAGAGTGTGTGGTGTCTCTGGAAATAAGTGATCATCAGGGCTGAAACACCTGACCCTTACCTCTATTGTTAACAAAAATGATTATTGACTTGCTTTTGACAGGTTCTTTTCAAAGTATGGTGTTGTTTAAGACGGGAAATGAAACTCCAGGTCTGACCAAGACTACTGGTGCCACTTTTGATGACAGTGCAAGAAAAACAACTAAAGATTGTTTACAAGAATAACCTTCTTATTGCTTCTGTCTAGACTGCAACCATCAGGGGAAATGAAACTCCAGGTCTGACCAAGACTACTGGTGCCACTTTTGATGACAGTGCAAGAAAAACAACTAAAGATTACCTTCTTATTGCTTCTGTCTAGACTACAACCATCACTTTGAGTCTGGCCACTAAATTTGAGCTTGCATACTTTTAGATATCTTTAATTTGTTCTCTTTGAAATATAAGACCTCTCAGCTGGTAACACATTTTCTCTGTCAAAGCAAATAGCAAATGATACATCTCTCAACCAGACAAGAAGAACCAATAGCTTTGCAAAACCATATTGCAGATTGTATTGTAAACTCTGTGTTACTCCTCCAAAGCTTTAGGAGTTATGTACATATAAAAAACCCATCCTGGCTAGATATTCAGTATATCAGTAACAGAAATTGGTTCAAAACTTAAAATGTAAAAAATGAACCCTATCTACCGAGAATAAAGCAAAATACTTTTTTAGGCTAACATAGATTTTCCCACATCCACGTTTGTGGAAACAAGTGCACTCCCCTAGGGATCCCTTGGGGCTTAGGTTCATGTCCTTTGAGCATGCCATCTACTTACACACAACACATTTTTAAGTTAGGGTATTTGAAATAAGTGCTGCATTTTAAGATGCCCTTATCCATCTTCATTACAACTCACCTGGTTCAGTCTGTGACTTTTAAAAGTAAAGACAAAAACAAAGCAAAACTGCCTTATGTGCTGAGCCTCCAATATCCCGGATCAAGCTCTTTCTGCGTATTCAGTTAAAAGGAATTACAACAAAATAAACAGAAGGGACGAGCAGAACCCGAAGGACCCCGAGGTTCGCGGTACGGCCGCACGACCGCCACCGACCGCGCTGCTGCTTCCTGCGTGGAGCCGGACCCATCCTGCCGCCGCCTTGCTCACCGCGGGCAGCAGCGAGAGAGATGCACAAACCCGGGGGAGGCTCCGTGCACCGCCCGGCCGAGGGGATGCGCACACCGGGGAGGCTCCGTGCACCGCCCGGCCGAGGGGATGCACACCCGGGGAAGGCTGGCTGGTGCACCGCTCCACCGCCTCACCCGGCACCGGCCGCCCCGCGCCCGCCGCCGACCCACCTGCTCGGCCTGCTCGGGGAAGGAGTCGGTCGCTCTCACCACCACGTTGGCGCTGGCATCCGCGTTCTCCGCCAGGTCGATGCTGGCCACCCACTGCCGCGGCGAGAGGAACGGCGCGTTAGCGGCCCGCGCCCCGCAGCGCCCGGCCCGGCCGGACACGGCCGCTTCCCCGCAGAGCTCCCCGCCTCACTCCCGGCCCGGCGCTTACCCAGTTCTTGGACTTGAAGTACCGCACGCACTGGGAGCCCAGCGCCCCTCTGCCCCCGTACACCAGCACCCTGCGTGCCGCCATGCCCGCCGCTGCTCTCCCCGGCGCGGATGGGCCGCCCCACGGGGCGGGCGAGGGGCGGCAGCTCCGGCCGTGGGTGGTGCGAGGGGCGGGGCGGGGCTGGGCAGGGGGAGGTAAGGGAGGAGAAATCCCCATGCCTATGCCCCGCCACGGCAGGGGCCTTGTTACTAGTCCCCAGGGCTCCTGCTGCTGTTAGTTAGTTAATTAATTAATTAATAAGTAGTTCTGAAGGTCCTGCTAGGGCTCGGGTAGCAGTAACCGTAGAAGGGCGGACAATTACGAGCGGTTTTCTTTAGCGCTCATGGATCGCACCTGTCACTTGAGTTCCCCTCATGAGTGCTCCGATGTACGGCACGGCTGGCCAGGCCACCCCGGCTGCCAGGGGCTTCGTGCGGCCCGCTGGAATTCAGAAGAGTGCAGAGCCATCGTTTCTGTCCCTCAGATAGCCCTGCCTGCAGTGACATTTAGAGGCTGGCTGCGAGCAGGCGCCGGGAAGCTCAGCACGGCTCAGGCGACTGCAGAATCCTTCAGCCAAATTACGCTGTTTTGATGCTTTGTCCCTCGCACATAGATATTTACCCACTTTTAAAAATAATCCAATAAACTGGATTCTTCTTCAAATTTTCTTCACATGAGGTTGTAGTAAGAAACTTGATGTCATTTGAGCAGGACAATTAAACCCCTGAGGAAATATTAGACAGGCCATAGAGATAGGATTACTTGGTACAAAGAAGCATCACCACATTACAATATAATGAATCCCTTACTTGCAACCATTTCAGGATGTTGTTGCAGCAAAATGTATTTTTTGCCTTGATTTTTAACCACACAGATTAATTGCTGGACCTTCAAATTACAAAGAAAAGTATCTTGAAATGCCTGGTATTCAGCTGTGGATTTTGGAGCATGATGAAAAATGAGAAATACGTCTGACTCCTGCAGAGAGGGCTTGGAGATGATCCCTTGAAAGCACTAGGATGCCTGGCTGCTTTAAAAAGACATTATTTGCTTTGGCTTCTCTAATAAGTTTTGTGTCTTTTATCTTGATTGTTGTTGCAATGGGGATTCCAAAGTGGATGACTGGGAAGATCCTTTGCAAAACAGGGGCTGATTTAGTCAATGCCACAGATCCAGAGCTGGTCAAGTTCATTGGAGAAATTTACTACGGACTCTTTCGAGGCGGCAAAATACGCCAATGTGGCTTGGGCGGGCGGCGTTCCAAATTCACAAGTAAGTATAATTTTGGTTGAATGTTTAATATCTAGTTCAAATTTAACATTCTATTCTTTTTGTTTACAGAACTTGTAGAATGTAAATTTGTATTATTAAATAAATATGTAGTCTTTATGGTTTGATGTTTGGAGTGTGAATATAAAATTTCTATCATTTCATGAATACCTTTTGCTACAGTTATAATCTGTAATCCTAGAATCAAGCTGGGGAAAAAAATCCCTAGGGAGCGATGGAGAGTTTCCTTTTAGCCTTGTGAAGGGGGTGAAAGTCATTTGGAGATAACCCTGTAAATTATACTTTCCCCTTGACTGACTTTTTCCTATGCCAAGTTTTGCTCTGCCACTCCTCTGCCTCTGTCCTTGCCTTCTCTGTTGAACTCTTCTGAGGTTTTTTCCCTTTAAGAAGCAGAGATTTATTTGGCTGGACACATTTCTGTATTTTTCTGGCTGTCCTAATGCAAATGTCTACCATAGCACATATTGCTAACTTTATTAACATGTTGAAGAAATTCTTACCTTCTTTTCTATTAAGTTAGGAGACAAAAAATTGCTGAACTTTTAACAAATGTAGAAACTCTTCTAAACATACTCCTTTTAACATAAAAGATTTTCTTGAGGTCTTGAAAGCACTGAGCTGTACTCTGGATGATTTCCAAATTTCACTCATCCTGTTCTGTAGTGAAAATGGTAATTTGCATTGAAGATTTTTACTGCAGTGTACAGATTTACTGAAGCAATACGAGTTGAAGCTGTTGCAGTCTCACCCTCTCCCTGGCCCACAGCAATAGTGTCCTGTCCCATCCTTTGCAATGGCTCTGGTAGTTGAGGTGAGGTATTTCAGAAGTTAAAATGGCCAAATATTTAGCCTACAAAAATAAATACTTGTTTTGCCATAGGATTGTGTCTGACTACACAACTACACAAGCACTATTATAAAAATTTGAAGGCAAGCGTGACTGTGGGACTTCAGAGGGAATGTAGAAAAGAACCAGAGCAACCTCAACTTAGATCAGCATGACCTGTTGTTAAACTGGGTGAATTTGCACTGGTAACCAAATTATTGCTCAAGCTCTGACTGCAACTTCACTACATGGACATAGCAGTCACGCTCATCCAGCCCCACTTATTTCACCCCATCCCAGCAGAGAGAATGAGAAAAACTCTGTACAGCTTTTTGAACTAGTTAATGAACTTTCTGATTTTTTACTGTGCAACCTGAGAGGAAGGCATAATGTTCCACAGTCACTTTGGAGTACATCGATATGCAATTGCAGGACATGAGCTGGCACTCCTTAGACAAACAGAGCTCTCACTGAAGCTAGTAATAATTCTCTGTTAGAATTACTATTCTCTGTAATAATAATAATTATTATTATTCTCTGTAAAACATTAAGTGCGATAGGCACAAATATGCATTTTGGTCAACAAGTGTTCCAGAGATTTTCCCTTTTAAATATTTTAATAACTCTACCGATTTTGATATTTTTACAATACCGGTTTCAAACAACAATATACAAAGCAAGTACTTTTGCACAGTGGTAAGCAGGACTGGGGGTTCTGAGTTTGACTTGACTTTTTTTTTGTTTGAATGTCCCCCTTAATCTAAAAGCATTCTGATTTTACTGGGGTGCAAGAACTGTAAGACTTTTCATAAGGAATGCGATAACATAAATTGATTTCACTGGCACCATAGATGAAGACAAAGCTAACACATCATATGGTACAGTATTGCAGCACCTCTGACGCTTCAGAATTTCAAGTTGCAATAATTTACTGTTATTGGTACATCCCCTTTCACTCTGTTAACATTCACTAGAGTAGACTTTAGCTGGGACAGTGACTCCATTGCCATAACAGGTATCTACTTGCTCTTTTGTACTCCTCAACATGTATCACCTGGCATCCAGCTGCAGCTTCTGGAAGTGTCCCATCCAAGTGCAGTACGTTAGACCCACAGGGTTGTTAGGATGGTCCTAAGGCACCTAAGCTGGCATAAGATGCTTCTCTTTTGACAATTGAGTCAAGCTCCGAGAACAAGCTGGGGAAGCCACGTGTTTTGTCTGTGCATAGCAAACGCTGCTGGATTTTGTCAGGAGTCTCCATGGCAATAGCCTTCTCATGGATTCTTATTTCTGTGTACTAAGCTAGACTTACTGGGCATGTCACTGGGACTTGGCTGCAAGACTCAGAAAAGAGACCAAATAATCCTTACAACTACCCTAAAATCTCTGAGGGTTTGTACGGAGGCTTAATTCCATCTGATTTGTTGTTGTGCTGCCAGTTATTTTCATCAGAAAGCAACCTAGTTTTTTGATTCTCATTTCTCATATATACTTCTGATCCTCATTGCTCCCCTCATTTCTTGTTGTCAGTGTCTTCTGCAACTCTTCTGTGCACCAGGCTCAACTACAACTCCAGAAGGAGCTACTGAAAGGGTAGATCTGTTGAATCACATCATTTTTGTATGGCATTTGTACATATAAATTTTTTCTACATGATCTACTATAATTCTGTCCTGTCATGATCAAATTATTTACCTGAAGTTCATGGTGACATCTACCAACTGTTGCTGCCTACTTTTTAGGTGGCTTGTTTGGGCTTTGGGTTTTTTTGTCAGTTATGCAGCACAGGTAGGAATTTATTTATTTGTTTATAACATAGTATATAACTGTATAACTATAACTGTAGTAATTAGGTGGCGCGTTTTTCAGAACACGTATGAGTGTGCAGTGCTGTGCAAGCTGAAGATCTGCTCTTGATCACCTTGTGTGGTGAATGCTTTGTGGGGTGAATGCTCTTGGGCAAGTGGAGAGATGAGAATCTTGACTTCATGTTTTAGAAGGCTATTTATTATATTATGATATATTATATATTAATATACTACATTAAAACTATACTAAAAGAATAGAGAGAAAAGGATTCATCAGAAGGCTTGAAAGAACAGGAAAGGAATGCAATAACAAAGGTTCCTGACTCCCCGAGAGTCCGAGCCAGCTGCATCTGTGACTGGCCATTAATTAGAAACAACCAACATGCACCAATCACAGATGCCCCTGTTGCATTCCACAGCAGCAGATAGTTATTGTTTACATTTCTTTCCTGAGGCTCCTCAGCTCCTCAGGAGAAAATCCTGGCAAAAGTATTTTTCAGAAAATATCATAGTAACAACCTTGTATTTTAGGGTTCCTCTCAATCAGCTTCTCTCTTTCCTGTCAGTCAACATCACCTACAATTCCCTACTCAGATTTCTTCTGATTCTAGAGGGCTGCAGGATAAACTAAACACTCAGGTGTACATTTCCTGCTGCTGGCCAGTCTAGCCCTCCAACAAAGGAACTGTGTTTGTGAAGACAGAACCAAGAAAATTGCTGTTCTCAAGAGACAAGTGTCAGGCTGCTGAGGGAGAGCTTGTGCCTGTAGCAAACCATGGCAGCGCTTCACCTAAAGCCCACCTGACTGCAATACTTTACAACCTTCCTACATCTGTGGCTAAAACACTGCCAGAAGCCCAGAAAAGCATAAAAGGGCCATGAACACTAGATGAGAAACAAAGAAAGGAATCTTAAAGGGCAAACCTGTGGGATTAGGACGTATGAAATCAGGGCAGATCTCACTGGAGCCAGCAGTAAAGAGAGTAAAGAAAAAAAAAGAAGAATAACATGAGAAAATAAACACAGAAAAGGTGATACTATTTTAGGTAGCAAGGGAACAAGGAAACGGAGACTATCAGACTTCAAATGGATGAGATTAAAAGCATGAGAGGAATGAGAAATTCAAGCCAGGAGTTTGGTATGGAGAACAGAGGTGAAAAAGAGACAAGAAAGTATGCAGCAGACACTACAGCACCAGAGATAAAGACATTAATGCTGCTAGATAAATAAGCAGGACTTCAGCCTGAACCCTTATTTACAGATCCTCTGTAGAGGATTATTCCTGTAGAAGAATATCCCTGGTTTAATGCACTGAAAAACAAAGCATCAGGAACTGAGAAGTATGCAACTAGCTAAATTCCACATCTCCATAAAAAGTCTTCCTTAAATATAAGTTGAATTTGAATCACCAGCACAGTGTGATGTTTACTATCATCAAGAAAACCAATACACTGAATAGATGACTTATTTTTTCTTGACAGTTTTCCCACACATGGTGAAAAAGTTGAATACAGGTCTCCATGTGATGATCATAATGTTCCTCTGTGTGGCCATTTTCTTTTCTCTGGTCAGTTTTGGATTCTGCATTCTTAACGCAATAAAAGTTCCTTACCGGGCTATTAACGGTCCAGCAGGAGCATGCCTTTGGAACTTCCTTGCAGGTAAGGTAATTTTCCAGTGTTTTTTGTAGTCACATTAATAGAAAATGATACAAGTTCCTTTCTTCCTTACTAAATACCTCTGTGATTGAAATACTTGTGAATACAATGAAGTCGGCAGTGAATTCACACCTATCAAAACAGAACTTCCAGGTGGTGTCTTGGCTTATTGTGTCTAGTTAACATTTAACAGGAGCTATGCCCTGAGGCTTTATGTCATGGATAAAAGTGTGTTTGCCCACACAATAAAGCCTAAGCATTTTTAAGGTGTTTAAGCCATGCCTTTGTCTATCCCTACTCTGTATAATGCTCAGTGATATATTCGGTAAGTCTTTTGAAGCATGACCAAAAGATCTGTCTTGTTTTGATTTGATAATGGTGAATACTTATTTCATTTTGTTGCAGGTGGATTTGTAGTACTTGGAGTCACCAGCTTCATGGCTGCTGTGAAACTTCATAACCTCACAGAAAGGATTGCCAATTTTCAGGAAAATGTCTTTCGGTTCATTATCTTAGAAGAACGCTTTGAAGACTGTTTTTGGATTTGTGTGGCAAGTGCCACAGCACATGCAGTGAATTTGCTGCTAATAGCCATTAGTGGGATTCATTTCCCTAAAATTAAGACTAAAACAGAAGAAGTGAATGTTACAGCAGAAGATATCATGTACTAACAAATCTACACAAAACTATTTTGGTCAAGTGAACTGTTGTGACAGGAACAGCTTCTTGGCTCTTCAGCCTTTGTTTTGGAGAGATGATTTATGTACAAACCTGAGCAAACATGTCAGTCTACAATACCAGCAACTAACATGTCTGTAAAAAGAACCCAAAAAACAAATGCTATAAATATCATTATTCTCAAAACAGACTGATATCTGCAGTGAGTATATGCTGTTTCAGTTTTTATAAAATTTGTACTTTGGGATATTTTAGAAAGCAAAAGTGAAATATTTTATCAAACCAAATGTCTTCTTTATTTAGAAAGACAACATGTTTATCACAGATCTTTGAAACTATAACATTGTTTCAAAAGAGAAAGAATGTATATTTGGCATTTACTTTCACAGAATTATCTAGAGCATATTAAGAAGGACATACATCTTTGATGATGTTATACAGCGTTGAAAAAGATAACTGTGATGCTAAAGTTAAGGGGCAGCAAAGGCTAAATGTGTGTGTATGAAATGTTTTTAAAACAGAAATTATCCAATACAACAAGGCAAAGAAGTGAGAAATGTAAATTATATGGGATGCTATTAGTCTGTGAAGAAAAAATTATTAGCTGCTAGATGACTGTTTTATTGCAGCTTCTGGAACTAAACAGCTTAAGGGTAATAGTGCTTTTAGATAACCTGGAAAATATTAATCTGACAGATTAATTTTCTTCATTACTCTGTTAAGTCTATCTGAAATCAAGTAAAAGTGATGTATGATGAAACAGTATTGAAATGGATAGAACTGGCTAAATGGATGGAAAAGTTACTTTCTTAGGAAGGACCATAATTTTGACAAGGATTCAACCAGGTTTTCATGGGTCCCAAGGAGCAAATATTTTTGAGAAAAGGATATGGAATATACCATTAGGAATGGACACAGTGGCCTGTACCATCTCTGAGTTTGGCTCTACAAGGTTAGCAGGATTATGAGTGAAGCAGAAATTTGTGAGGGTTCCTCTGCAATAGGCCCTACTAACCTATCTTCTTCAAGACACCATCAGCCACTTTTGTTTTTCAGGAGCACTAAAATTATTTTAAAAAATTTAAAGATAGATGGAAAATTATGATGAGTCTAGAGAACTGTTACAATTTTAGTATAAAGGAGACTCAATAAAGCAGAAAAAGTTCCTATTTTATTCCACCCTCTTGCTTCATTGTTCTTGGTGCTTTCACTGAGACTGTGCCCTGGGCCACAATTCCAGACAGATGGTGCAATAGCCTGTACATGGATAGGCAGCAAACAAATCCAGGCTACGAAGGTGTCTTAGGTGGTAACAACACAGTACTGCCCTGAAAACTGTCCACAGGGGCCTCTGTGGTACCACCACCTTCCCCTCCCAGAAAATTCTGAGTGGCTTTGAGATAGAAAAACTTGAACTGTTACAAATTACAAGTATTACATTTTCTACTTGTGTAATTATGCCGCAGTTCAAGTTTTTCTATGAACACGTATAATTTAGACAGAGTTGCTGTACAGAAAGAATTATATTGTGGCATGTAACTTAGCTTTTACTAAATATAATTCTCTTCAGGAGGTGAGAAGGAAGCAGATTCTTAAATCCTCCATATCAAGTGATTGCTGTGAAAATGCTTTTCAATAGTATTAATATGCATGTATTGCAACACATTTTCATACTGATAGTGAACTGCTTGATGGCCCCCAAATTTCAAACCACTCCAAAAATATCACTGAATAAGAAAGGACTAAAAAACTGCTTCTTGTCCAAGAGCCTTGCCAAAATAAATGAAACTGAAAATGAATGACCACTTTGATTCTTTAAATAATATTGTAGTTTAATGTTAAAAAATTGTAATTTTACAAGATAAATCCAGTTGGATGCAATTTTCCTCAGTCATTGTTTCTGAGTGCTGCTGACTTTAATAAAACATGTTATATGTCTCTGCACCACTTCATGGAAAAAGCTGCGAGTTCTGAAGTGCAATGGACTCCTAGAGAACAGGCCCAACTCCTTCTGCATCATGTTCTGCTTATCTAACAGTATAACTCCACTTAAAGATGTATGGAAAAGCAAACGTATATATTGGTATGCATATTGTCATAAGGTGTCTTATTCTCACGTATTAAAATGAATTACTTAAAATCTATGCTTTACACTTCAGGGGCAGGGAAAGAAACAAAACATGTCTCAATCACCTGAAATTAAAATCCAATGCATGTTCAAAGCTCTTCAGACTGACAATACAGTAACTGTCAGCAAACTCCAACCAGTTCTTTTCCATGCAGTGCTTTTGCTGACCATAAATCTACTTCTGATATTGCAGTGATAACCCTGCGTTCTGTTGTGAATTTTCCTGAGAGAATGTAACCACAGTCATTCTCATTGGGTGGTTTTGTGGGGTTTTTTTATTTGCCACATTTTTGTTTCTTTCTGTAATTTCAGACTGAAATTGTTACAGTTTTCTCGTAGAAAATAACGTACGTTTGCAATAAAGTCTTATTTTTCCTAAACGATTTACATTTTAATCTTCAATATGCAAATTAAGTATGCAGTATGCAGACTAGGGCTGCCTAAATCCGTGATAAACCCCGGAGAGAAGTACGACCACCTATCTAGAACATGCCATGAGAGGGCAAAAATCCACTGTGAAGCCGAGCAATCGTGCCGGACCATCAGGAAACAACAGCTCTCCTCCCGCGGGATCTCCGCTCGGGAGCGCTCCGGGCCCCGCTCTCCCTCCCCGCTCTCCGGCCGGGCCCTCCCCCGCGGCCGCCGCGCACCGCCCCTTGCGGCGCCGGCTGATGAGGCGCTGTGCGCGCCGGGCCCGCCCGCGCTGCTCCGTTCCCTTCCTTTCCTTTCCCCTCCGTGCTGCCCTCCCTGCTGCCTGCCGTGCTCGGTGCCATGCTGCTGCCCTGCGTGCGGAGCGGGGCTGCGCGCCGCCTCGCCCGGGACGTGCCCCGGGCCTGCAGCTGCTCGGCGCAGGGCCCCTGGCCGCGGGGCTACAGCCGCGGCGCGGCCGGCAAGGTGAGCGGGGAGCCGGGGCGGGGGTTGCGTGTCCCTTCCGCCGCTCGGCTCGGCTCGGCTGGGATGAGCCCCCCGGAGCAGAGTCAGGAGCGATGCGGCTCCCTCCGCTCCCTTGGGTGTGCAGAATGGAGGTCTGCGCTGGCACGGAGAAACTCTTTTGTGCTTAAAATTACTGATTGAAAGAGGTTTTTGTCTTTATGTGACAGGCAAAGTTATTGTAAGTTCTCTTATGCTGTATCTGACTTCTTTTTCACACTTTAAAGTAGTTGTAGTAGTTGATCCTGGTTACAGAAGTGTTACTGTGCATCACGTTAGATAAATTCAAAAACTTAGATAAATGCATACAGAAGTAGCAGTAGTTTGAACACTTACTCGCTGACTCTCTGATGGGTCTCTAAATTTCGTGTTGTTTACATTAATGCCTTTGCATTAACCCCTTTTCTAGGGTCTTGTTCTGGGAGTCTACTCTAGTGAAAAGGATGATGGTGCTGCCCAGTTCACTAGTGCGGGAGATGCTTTTGATAGGCTTGTGTCTGGAAAGCTGAGAGCACTTCTATCCCTGTAAGTGTGTGATAAGCTTCTGAAATGGACCAAAGTACCTATAAATACCAGTAGGAATGACTTTTTTTTTTTTCGTTATTTCTGTCTCTGTCCATATCACTGTCAGGCTGCTATTTGCTTTGACAGTTTGGAGGGGAGCTCCCATGATAAAACTAATCACTGAGCAAACATGCAAAAATTTCATGGGAGCTGTCCTCTGCTCTAAATCAGCACAGAGCCAAGCATCCAAGTGCATGTGTGGCACACTGTGTGGTCATGGAGTAAATGCAGTACTGCAAGATTGATCACAAGTAAGGCCTTCTGTATTGAAAGAATCTTTTTGTGTCCTAGATGTGGGCCACCTTTGAAGAAAGGGAAAACACGTGTATTTCATGGTTTGCATCAGGTACGTACTTAGTGGTTTTGTATGCTAGTTGATTGATGTGTGAAGTTTGTCCTTACATCTAATTTTATGCTGAGTTCACTGCTGTGCTTGTATAAATGGCTGGCTCTTCTTCCCTCTTCTTGACTGTTTCAACTCCCGTTCTGCACTGCCCATGTTTGCACAGCTCTGTACTCCCTCCACCGTGCTGCAAATGGAGAGGATCTGAACAAGTCTGCTCCAAAGGTGCTGTACTCTGAATAGCTGCTTCTTGAATGAGCTAAAGCATGGCAGTTTTGGATCTGACTTCTGTGCCTCCTGTGTCCAGGAGGGGTGAGTCTGTGAGGAGTTACTGATAGGTGCAAAGAGCTTCCAGACTGACAGTTCCAAGACAAGGTAGTCCCTTCATAGGCTTTTGTCAGAGATTTTAAGTCAGGTGCTTGAAACCTCTGAAAACAAGTTAGGGGACTGTTCTTCAAGCAGGACTTTTGTCTGCACAGGCATAATAGGCTGTGAGATGAGGATTCATCTGCTCAAAGTTAGGCTTTTGGTTCCACTTGAGAAGCTGGGATAGAAGTAATGCACATATGTGAAGCTGACCAATATGGAATGATTTGTGCCTTTTTGGAGTCCTAGTAAGGCCTAGGCAGGCATGTGATGTGACATTAGGTGTTCCTCTCTAAGCAACTGATTCTTACATTTAGGCTATTTAAATAATCTGAAATAAATCCATTTGTAGTGAGAATTGCCTACCATGTATAAATTCCTGTGCGGACACCCCACATAGGTGGACTTGGTAAAAAGGCTCTCAGAAATTTCATGGAAGTTGAGTGCATTGAAGGTCCCATTATCCCAGTTCTGCATACAGGATGGACTCTGAAGTGAGTAGCAAATCTCTGCGATAGAAGAGAGGAGAATGTTAACTGGTATCACCGATTTTCTGGAAAGCTAACACAAGTTTCAGCATTTTGTGGACTAAAGGACTTCACTACAGCGTAGCAGTTTGACAGCTGCTTGTTAGAGGCTGACAGAGATGGGAAAGCCTAACT